ATGAATTCCATCCGTGCTTTCAAAACTTCCACACATTCCAGACAAATATCGTGCCTGCAAAATACTCCTTCAACAGTAAACGACAAACTCACTTATGACAAGCTTAGCTTAGGCGAAGAATGCTTGGAGTGTTCTTTACGAGCAAATAAGCATTCCTCAAACAAACAGCGTGTAGCATGTCGTGGCGGCCACAAGAGGCAGTTAAAAATTCTGTGTTACTTGCCTTGCTGGCAGACGGTAGATGTGGAAAGTTATTGGCTGACACTCATAATAAAATCATTAGCCAGGGCACCGACTGCCGGTGCGAAGATGCGTTTTTTGCACAGTTCTCCCGCGGGTTTTGTTGCTAACAGCACTGTTTTTCCCAGCAAATGCTTCTAGCTAGAAGAATTGAGACTGGTCCCATGAATGTCGGAAAAGATTACGGTGACCCCCAATCCTCACTCAAAAAATTCAACACACTACGTGGTCTGGCTGCGGAGTCACGTCAAGCTCCATATGTTCGTGCGTGAGGAGAAGCGTGAATGCCGTTTTCGTGTGCACTTGCTCAAGCACGGTCTTGGGCCATTCTCAGAAATTTCAGCACTCCAGCTCCTCTGATTGTGAAGTTACATCAAATTTTACGTGTTCATAAATGAAAAAAAAAAAACGTAAGTGCTGTTTCCCCGTGCGCTTGCTTAAACACGGTCTCGGACCACGGCCAAAAAATTTCAGCGCCCTAAATGCTTTGGTTGCGAAGTTACATCAAATTTTACGTGCTCGTACGTGGAAGTGTGAATGCTGTCTTCGTTTTTGAAAATCTTTTGAGTAGACTTGACCAAGGAACATCTTTGTGTAACTTTCAGCCTTCTAGATTGCGCGGTCCCCGAAGTCGCTTTTCCGCCAAAAAAAAACTTTCACGCGCCTGTACGTGAGAACCAATGGGGTGTGAGCGTCCATTCTGAGGATAGGGGTCCTCACGTATGGGTAAGTGAAGTTGTTAAAGCTTCAGCTTTGTAACTTTTGTAGATCTCAAGATGAAAACTCGGTACAGACGCACACACAGATATTACAGACACAGAAGCGCACACACACAGACAACCCTCGACAATATTTTTGCATTGCATAGATGCAAAAAAGGCATAATAAACGATCGTTTAAGAGGCCTGCGACGAGGTCAAGTCTGTTCGTTTACGCACTTGAATGATTTCTGACTCCATACATGCAGCTAAAGTCCCAAGCGACGCATCACAGCCGCAAGACGGCATGAATGGGTGTTCCAATAACACTACTAACATCGAAAACCTCCAAAAATTATCCGCCCAGGCGGCTTTTATAATTCTGATGATTCCAACTCAGCTGTTTAATAGCATATTCGTAAAAAGAGACAGAAGTAAGCCTAAACAAACCCCGTTTTTAGCTCAGCGTATTCAACATCGTAAATTTCCAGGAAACGTAGTGCTGCTTGCTTGTTAACTGCCTTGATTAGACCGTTTCTGACGCTTTCAAGCGATATTTGGTTATGCACACACAGTGGAAACGACATTTTCGATCCCTCCTGCAACATACATGGCCTTCAAACTTGCCGATATTTCGTTAATCTAAACAAAAGTACCAGCGAAGAGTGCGAATTAGATACAGTTGAAAAATTCAAAAAGTACCGTGCTAGACTTTGCCAAATTTGAACATTTCGTATCAGCGGTGCCACGACTGCCATGAGGGATATTTTTGAAAAGCTGAAACAGATGTTAATATTTTACATCAGGACGAAATACAAAAATAAGCTTAGCGAATACAAACAACGCTGATCTAGTGCAAGATTCTCTCTACCATCCGTTCATTCGCTTCGCTTATAAGGTACTGATGTGCTACACGAGGCGAAATTCGGACGAAAGAGAGCCTTTGAAGCTTGCCAAAGGGTGATTGCTGCTGGCATTTGCTACGAGTCGGAGAATTTCTGAGCGCGCCCATCTCTCATAATGAGAAAATTTGTAGGGAGTTTTGAATTTTACGGTTTTGACAAAAAATAAGGAATTTTTAATGCACCAATTGTAACTACACAAATTTTAAAAAAAAATCCATACCTCTTCATTGCTTTCCACCATTGTACTGAACTCTTGCATCAAAATACTGCTAAAAAGTTCA